ATGTGTTCGATATAAAAAAAAAAAAAAAAAAAAAAAAAAAAAAAAAAAAATTTCAAATTTTTTAAATGGGGGGGGGGGGGGGGGAGGGGAATAAATAAATCAGGTCTAGTGCTTCATTCCACACAATAGAATAACCAATGAAAACCAAAGCAGAAGGTTTGGGACACATGGGTTTATGTGGATCCTATGACCTCAATGCAGAGCACATGTTATTTACATGCATTTAAAAAAAAATAAAAAAGCTAAACACACATTTGAATTGCATGTGACCTAAATGGGATTGGAGAATAAAGTCATGAGAGCTGCTTGAAACCCCATGTGTATAATCTACAGGCACACCCCTTTAAACTAGGTGTGGTTTTAAAGAGAGCAGGGGATATCCTAAAACTTTACAGGAAGGGACCGGATCACATTCTGTGTCTTAATCAGTCCCAAGCTCAAAGTCTGCAGTTGCAACATACTATTAAATCAGAATATACTAGGTCGGTATTAAAATCAACAGACCTGAGTGCCCACCCTCTTGCAGGAGAACAGGACAAGCCCACAGCTTGCAGGTGCAATATGCTTTGCTTGTGGGAAACCTGCCTCCTGAAAGACCCAAGATCCCGTTTGCATCTCTGAAAGGCCACAAAATTAAAGGACAACCTCCTCCCCGCCCCGCTCCATTGTTAAATAGCAGACCCCAAATAATTTCAGCCTCATGATAGAAGGTGGAGGGCGATGCATCCCATCACACACTTTAAGTGCTTGTCTAGTGATAGAAGGCCGGTGCACCCAAGCCCCCCCGCTCATCGCCCACCCTCTCGGTGCTGCTCTTGCTGTCTTCCTCAGCAGTTTAGGCCAGGTCTGCACGCGTGTGAGAGCTGCCAGAGATCACATCCCTCCCGATGTACGTGGGCACACACGCACTGGGCAGAACCGTCCCCATTCTGTACATACCATTTACTTAGCAAATCTTGCCATTAGAAGGGTTTAGGTGCAGAAGGCTGAAGGGGGAACCGGCCTCAAGGGGTCTGCCTGGAAAGATCACGGGACATGTACAATCTTCGGCATCTCTGGAGCATTTGCTTAAATAAAACATACTCCTCTGGCTCTTGGAGATGCATTTCAGGAGATGCTACATGCCAGATACGTTCCTGAACACGGCCACTCACCTCCTTACTCCCTGAGCTTCCTTAACATCCCCAGTGCTCCCCTGGGAGCCCCAGTCAACGTGTTACTGGGCCAACCCATCACCCCAGACACAAGCACTTCTCCCCTTGGGGTAACTTCAGCTCAGATATCCTACCTCTGCAACAGGCCTTGACCCTGTGTTGGGCCAAAATTGAACAGGTCTTGGCTTTCAGGAGACTGCTGCTGCAGATCCTGACCCTCTCCCTTTCCAAAGTCATCCCCTCTCGTTTGTACCCAACGCCCTAACGTATTCCCATGGAAAATATTTGGAAGGACCCCCATGCTTTTCAACTCTGCTCACCATCCTCTTATGTCCCGCTGCCCTAGGTCTCCCCTAGCATGAGTACACAGGAATTATCATTCAAATGGAGGGTGTAGAGTGGGTGCATTTGCTGGCACTGAGTCAGCGGCACCACTTCCTTGAGCCGGGATTCCCCCCTTTCCTGGGGAGGATCTTTTGCAAAGCAACAGAAGGGCAGAAAATATTTTTAAAACGAGGCCAGCACAGAGCCATCCTGCCATCACACCCTCGAGGGAAGCTCCCTGCCTCCCCAGGGGGGAGATACATCACAGACGACGAAGCTGGGAATGGACACGGGGTTTGCCCATACACGCAGCCTCTGCTGGCAGAGCCACCATGGCAGACAGAGGGGTTCGGGAGACGCCGCCGAAAGGATGCGTGCCCCGTTTCCCAGAATTTGGTTCCACCTCAAGTCTCATGTGCCCTTTCTTTCCTGGAGCTTCCTTTCTATGGACTGAGTTATGCTATTACCAGCCACGGATGTTTTCTATACCTGTCCCCCCCATCATGGACGTCTTCCCAAGGTGGGCTGTGAAAGCTTTCCCCAGAAATGCCTGATGTAAAGGTCGTTGCCATCATCAGGGCTCTGGCTGCCATTCCCTTGCTCTCAGGGCAGCGTGTCTTCTCCGCAGCCCACGGGGCTCCTAATTATGCACCTTAAGGTCACCGGTTGCTCTGAAGGGATCCAGCTGGGCAGGGTGAGGGAGGAGAGTTTCCCTGCTGGGAAGCCAAGAAAATCTCTCTTTATAGACTTTCACAACAGCTGAATAAATACCGACAAACAGGATGACGGACACGGTGTCACTGGTTGAAAGGAACAGACGGGAAGGTGGCTGGTTGCTCTAGCAACACGACCGCTATGGCTGGGAGGCGGGGGGGAAAAATGGGCTTTTCTTTTTTCTCTTCACCTGTCAATCATTCCTTCGCCGTAACTCTCTCCCTTGGCAGGAGACGAGTGGTGACATTTACACTCCCACTAACAAGCTGGATGCATAATGGGCGCACGCCTTAAGAGAGCAGCTGCTGCAGAGCAGCGGCACAAAAGCCCAAATGGCAAAGAGCAGCAGTTCGGGGAGAGGGCATCATTCTCTCCAGCATCTCCCGTAGGTTGGGTCCTTTTTCTTCTATTATTATTAGCTTTCAGAAGGCAGAAGCCTGCACTTAAACAGCAGATAAAGCCGCGGCAGGACATGCCTCATTTACAAACCTGCATGTGAGAGCTGGGGACCTCTAAGCCGCTTGGGAGGAGCTGCTGCTGGAAGGCGGCAGTCGCAGCCTGGAGAAACCTTTTCCCATCAGATGCAGAATCCATCTTGCAAAGGACAGGATGGGCAGAAAAGAAAAGCAGCCAGTAGACACCTGCATTTCTGGACCTGGCATCTAGGCGCAGGCTTTTGGGGCTCCTCATTGCTGGGTTATCCTGTGAGTTCTTCGTGCTGGAGCAGTTAGGAGACCAAAGCTGACACCCCTGAGCTTCCTGGCGGTTGTCCCCCGTCAGCTGGGTGCTGTCACTGGATTCCCCCAGCTTTAGGGCCTGACTTTCAGTTCACTCCACACACTGTGTTAAAATAACACTGTCATTGAGTAAAACATTGGAGCTGCCAAGCAAATGTTTAGTGGGGGGAGATCTTCCATCCCTGTTTGATCAGCATCTAAAATCACAGAATCATAGAAAAGTCCAGCTGGAAGAGACCTCAGGCAATCGCATCTTGTCTACCCACCTTGCTTAAGGCAGGGTATCCCTATCCAAGCCATCCTATAGAAGTGTGTGTCTAACTTGTTCTTGAAACCACACAAGCAGCCTTCATCCACCCCTGCCAGACTCAGTGCTTTAAATCATCCAGAACACCTTAATTTGCCCCAGGTAGAGCAGGGGAATGAGGGCACTAAATCCATTAAATCGAGCCAAGCAGTGTATAAGCTAGTAGAAGATGTACAGAGAAGTATGTTAAGTACTAGCACAGGAGCGCTTTTGCCAGATCCCACTTCCATTAAGCCTGACTGACAGCTAGGCATGACAGCTAAGATGAAGAGGAGGCTGAGGATACTTGAGCAAGAACAAAGCTTGGCACGAAGATTGAGGAGCCCCTTCCTCCGGCACCTCCCACCCCATTAGAAAGGGTCCTGGAGAGGCATGGGGTATGACACGTTTTTCATCTGTTTCCTGAGACCTGTTCTTCTGCACTATCAGCTCTTCACTAAAACTTCAACTGGTTTTCAAGGGTCTGAAGAGCCCACCTTCATGAGTCTGAAGAGCCCATCGCACACAGCAAAAGCACGGGCCATTTGCCACAGGATCCACATTTGTCACAAGGCCAATACAGCATCATGAAATAGGGTTGCATGGAGACCCTCACAAACCCTGGACTCACTGATAAGCTAAACATGATGCTCATTCCCTGAGGCCATCGGTTGAAGTGGCACCAGAAACACAAAAAAAAGAGCTCATAATCCAGATGAAGAACAAGGGCTCAGGATGGAGCAATTCTTCCACTCCAGTCCTGGCTCTGCCATCAGCTGGTCGTGTGGCCTGGGTAAACCTCTATAGCTCAAATTCAGACCTAGGGCAGGTGGGTGCAACGGCCAACCTCTCTGGAGTTGTATCTGCTAAGCCCAGGACTGAATCTGGCTCTCTGTGACTGTCTCCCCCTCTGCAAAACTTGTTATGATACATGCTTACCCCCCCTGGGGTGCCAGGAAGATTAATTAAACAGTGCTTCTAGAATCACTATATAAGCACCACATATAAGTAATTTGGCCTCTAATAGCCCTATTAACGGCAAATCCAATAATTAAGTTAGGCATGCGTCAATGGGTCTTAATTACACATGCACTAAATGCCTTATTAAACAGAAATAAAATTTTTAAAAAGCAGAATTATTTTAATGCGTTGCCCAGCAACAGACGTTGCGGGGGAAATAGTCTAGGAACGTGGGAATGAGCATTTCCAAGAGAACAGGTTATTTCAAGAGAGGCATCAGGAACAAGTAAATGTCACCCTGGCAGAAAATGCACTCCCCCCCTTCCCAGTTTAATCAATAATTTAAACTAGACATTTGTGGCCAATATGTGTTTAAGTCTAAAATGATTTTAAAAGAGCACCCAAACCTTTCCAAAGGAAAGAAAGAAATGTTTATTCGGTTGTGTGAGGGAAACATTAGATTAACGAACAATTGAAATGGCAATTGAGAGAGCTCTTAGACCTGCCATGTGGTCATGCAAAGAGGGCGATGGAGGCGTGCCAACGTGACTGTCTTGTGCTGCGTCTCGTGCGCCGCAGCGCCATGTCGTATTAATTCCGTCGTTCTCCTTCCCACACGTCCCTCTTCCCTTCTCCTCTCTCTCCTAGGACAAGACGAGCGCTTTGAGTCTCAGCAACGTGGCGGGCGTTTTCTATATCCTCATCGGTGGGCTCGGACTGGCCATGCTGGTTGCCTTAATCGAGTTTTGTTACAAGTCCAGGAGTGAATCCAAACGGATGAAGGTGGCAACACGTTTCCAGGCCTTTCACACCTTCTCTTTGACAATACCCTGCCTCCTAAGCTGCCTTCGGGGACAGATGCAAGCCAGGCTCAGGGTGGAAACCGTGGGATAGGGCGGAGGAAGTGAACACGCTAGCGGTCGTGTTTAGACAGGGCAGAAAGAGAATGGGTGGAGGGAACTCAGTCGTATACATGCGTGAGTTCGTTAAGTAGCCACAAAGCACAACCATAGTGTCCCTGACAGTATCGCCAGCTCTGATAGCAAAGCCCCAAGGAAATAGCACAGTACTCCAAGGTGGGCAGCCATTTGGAGCCCAGGCTCGACTGCGTTCACCTCCGTTTTACGCTGGTGCAAACACAAGAATCAGAGCACAGGTGTGCCAACACAACACTGGAGCAATGCAGGAGCAAATCAGGCCCCGTGGCTCCGCTAAACTGTACCCTGCTGATGTCATTTACTCTGATGCATTTTTATGCCTCCTAGGCTAGGAAAAGATGTTGCATTTGTCCCTGGACAAATTGAGCCTGTGTTTGTGCCAGAACAGATAATATCCTGGGACGGGCATGTACATGCATTGCCCGTCTCATTGGGATTCAGTAAGCAGTTGATTGCACTGCCACTCTTCTGCCATTGCTTCAGTGATACAATCCCCGGACAACTGTTGTGCTGCCCTGGGATAAACTGTTGGCGCTTTTCATCCCGTGATCCTTTTTAGGATTTATCCTTGGACAATGGACACAGCTGTCTAAACGATTGCACTTTGTCCTGGGATAAAATGGTTTATTCCAGGGCAAATGCAACATCTGTTTGTAGCCTTACGGACCAGTTCCTGGAACTGACCGTCCCAGGCAAAACTGAGAACCTTTAGGCTAGGGACAGACATTACATGTAAACTGGTCTAACCCTGTAACAGAACGGACGTTCAGTGCACATAAACTAGTTTGAAAATAGTTGAAACCAGTTTGAGATAAACCTGGTTGAATGTAGCAGCAGACTTAACCGATTTGGGTCAAACTGGTTTATGCAATGTCTGTCCCAGACCTTAATGTGCAAGGAACACATTTCTTCTTAGGAAGATGCTCTGTGCTGCGGTCTTTGGTGATGGGCAGGGAGTTTATAGCCGTATTGAGGATTAAGGTTGTCCCTTTTAATAAAATGGACCCTTTTTCCCTCCTGACACTCCTGTCCTGTGATAGCAAGGGTCTGGCCTTGATGGTCCAGGAAGACCCTTCTAGTCCTATGTCCTCCCAAAGTACCAGGTTGGATTAGATGCGAGGAAGCAGGGAATGCATGCATAATTGCCCCACAGAACTTGTGGAATGAGAGCCACTCGAGGATAAAAGTCTGGCCCGGTTCCCCAATGAGCTGGTGTAAAATCAGAAGGTCTTCTGTTTATTTTCTGCCACCTCCTTCTAGCTGCTCACTTTCGTGAGCACAAAAATGATTCCAGAATTAAACAAATAACTGATTATTCCTTTGGTTTCCACGCAGCTAATTTCAACACACTTAATGCTTCTCCAGTATGCATAACGCATTTAATCAGCTGAAAAGGAGTCGTGTCTCTTTCCCTGTTGAGGTTTAGAATATGCCCAAGGCAATGAAAGAAACTCGTTGCATGGCGGGGAGGAGAGAGGCGCAGAGTATATGCATTTAATGTTGCTGAATGCCAAAAAATAAATACATAGATTTTAATTGTTGGCTCCATTTTAACGATCTAGGGCAGAAATACCCTCTAACTGCATGTTAAGTCTGCTGTAGGTTTCCTAAATTTATTCTGACATGACTGCTCCATTTCCTGCAGGGCCCCATGTCATTATTGCAACCTATCCCAATAAGCAGTTTACAGTCTCCAAGACCAAACCAACCTTTGGCTTCACTCTTTAGCTTCCTGCTGGCCATTAGTCCTGTTACCGCCATCCTGAAATGTCTCGACACTCGCTGTGAGCTGGCTCCGCAACTCTTCCTCTGTTGAGTTGCATCTTCCTCCATAAGAGACCCTTGATTTCCACCTGCAATTATTTATATGTCTCAGTCCTCCATGCATAGACCTTGTCAATGCTGGGTGATTTACTGAAATGTCCATCACAGCATTATTATTCCAGCATGTTTATCTTGGTATCGAATAGCTTTGCCATAACAAGAGCAACATATTTTTGGTTTAGCTGAATCTATTCACGTCATTCCATATTAGCAACGTGGTAAAAATTTCCAAGTGTGGACAAGTCCTTGGGTTTTGTTTCAGTTGGGAAGATGAGATGTGATTTCCAGACCCTAAGTCTATTGCCCCACTGGAGATAAAGATGTAGTTACCTTTAGTCGTATGAGTAAAATTGTACGTGTGCTTAAGCGTTTGCAAGTCAGGACCTGAAATAACACCATGAATTTATTTGGTCCAAACACACCTAGACACCCAATACGTTCTGCACGTGACAGAGTAGCTCTGTAGCTCAAAATGGTCCCAAGTTGTTTAACCTAGAACTGGGAAGGTGCGTAGGCCAGTTGAATCTATGCAGAGAAGCAAGAGCCTGGATGGAGCTTGAGCATGTAGGGATGCTAAAAAAAAAAGGGGCGGTGTTTTATATGGTGACTTTCCAGACATTGCTAAGGACAGGGGGAAACCCCCCCGTCCTTCCTAAAAAGGGTTTTTGTTTGATCCCACAGCAATCAATTAATGAAGCCATAAGGACATCGACACTTCCCAGACCGGCCACGGCAGGAGCCAGCGGAGAGAACGGCCGGGTGGTCAGCCACGATTTCCCCAAATCCATGCAGACAATTCCGTGCATGAGCCACAGCACCGGGATGCCCCTGGGAGCCACAGGATTATAATCGGCCTTGACACGTCACCCGGGTGCGAGCAGGGTCACCCCCGCCCCACCCCCCTCCAGTGCCAAAAACCAATCCAAACCGAGAAACACGATGACGACGACGAACAAAAGGGACTATTCAATGGATCTTCCTGAGGAAATTGAATCTACTTTCCTTTTTGTTTTCCAATAGATCCACAGGCAGGAGAGTTAAACACAGTCTGCGCCGCAATAAGGAGAGCATAATGGGATTTAACAGACTCGCAAACCGTCCCTGGATCGCAGAGCCGCTGGAAAACTAATGAGGACTGTGCCATTTTGTTTTAACTTGGTTGTTAATAAGTCTTAGTGTGTGCAATATATATATATATACACACATATATATATATTTTTTCTTACTAATTCCTGTGGTGTCAGGATGACATCGGGCCGCCCTCCCGCCCCCACGCCTCCCCACACAGCCTTTTAATCAGGTGTAGTTTGAGATGCAAACCTAACGTTTGAGCTACTAACAGCAAAAGGGAAAATGAAATAAAAAAGGCGACCCTACTGCCCTGATGGGCACCAGCGGCCAGCCCTTGGATTCATCAGGAGCCAGCTGTGTGTCCGCCAAGACCCTGGGGCAGAGTTTACTGCAACCGGTCAAGCAGTCATGTGGAGGGCTCCGGCCAATCTTCCTGCACCAGGCAGGACTCTCGGGATGAGTCAACACCCACATGGCAACACACATTGACTTTGCAGGAACAAGGAGTGGAGGGAAGTTAGAAACAGAGGCGAGAGCACCCAAGTAACCCTGGATCAATGTGATACGTACTCCGTAAGAGATGACAAGTGGCGATTCCAGGGAAACTGAGGCACGATTGCAGACGTGTTCTGGGACTGGAGAAACCCAGCGTTTGGCAGCTGAGCCAACAGTGGACTAAGATCATGACAGACGGCTGCGTACGGAGGACAGGAACCAAACACAACTTTGATCATACATGCAACCCTCTGCCTACACTATCCAGGGCTAACTGGCAATTGTGAGCCATTTCCTCATTGCTTTGCTTCTATATGTGCTCCTTTGTGGATGGCTGCTGACGGGGGAACCACCAAGAGCCTGGAGTGAAACAGTCCTCACCAGTACAGGGGTGCTGGAAATGTGAGGCTGTGCTTGGGACGTTTCCGGATTTAGGCTCTGACATCCCCTTCGGACTAACTTTGAATTCAAAGGGGACTCTTCGCGGCTAAACAATCAAGCCAGATTTCTGGGAAGAACCTACATCTCCCTGAATCAAACCGCATGGATGGGGTGTCCCATAGGACCTTCACACCCACTTCCATGTTATTGGGTTGATGTTGGGCCTGTTAAACTCAGCTCTGGGCCAACGGGTTGGCGGAGAAGCCAAGAGCAGTGAGTTCTGGCTCGTTCCTCCTCGACAAGGAAGCAGGACTCACCAGGCACGTCGCTCTCCGCTCGGTCCAGGAACGCCTGTCCGAAACCCAGTGCAAAGCCAGCTGCTGGCAACGTTGCCCCAGCAGCTAATTGTCTTATTTCTTTCTTTTGCTTTTCTTTTTTTGGTTTCTGTCTAACCAGAAGATTCATTTTGTGAAGCCACCAGCATGAATAGCAGAACGCTCTGTTTTTGGGGGGGCTGGGGAAATGCACCGTTTTAAAGGGAATATCAAGGAAGATGGGAGATCGTCCATGGACGGAGCTGGACCGGTCTCAGCGGGGGCAGATGACAAAACAAGGAGCAGTGGGCTCAAGTGGCAGCAAGGGAGGTTTAGGTTGGATATTAGGAAAAATTTTACCATTAGGAGGGTGGTGAAGCACTGGGACAGGTTAGCCAGAGAGGTGGTGGACTCTCCATCCTTGGGGGTTTTAAGGCCCAGCTCAACAAAGCCATGGCTGGGATGATGCAGTTGGGGCTGGTCCTGCTTGGAGCAGGGGGTTCAACTAGATGTGACCCCCTGAGGTCTCTTCCCACCCTCATTGTCTACGAGTCAGTGGAGCTGTGGCTTCCAGTTTTCTGAAGTGGGTTGAAGCTCCTTCTCCGCAATCCCACTGAGACCCCAGCACAGGGAAAAAGGGGCTGATCTCAAAGGGTTAGGAGCTGCTATATTTTTTTACGCTGCAGGGAGTGCAATATGGCAAGTGAGTGATAGAGGGGAGCTGTGGGGTATGTGAGAAAGAGAGATGTTGATGGCAAAGTGACAGGCAGATAACTCGAGCAGGCTGGCGAGGAGGGTTTCCCCACGTGGCTTTTCAGAAGCATGACCGCCCGCTGGCTACAAACTCATCGTCTTCGGTGCATGACCCGCAGCGAGGTGCCTCGCGTCGGTGACTGAGCCGCCCTGACTGCTCTGCACCACTGACCTATTTGCACCCCATCTCTTGTCTCCACTCATCCCGGGGCCATACGGGCAAGCCCAGCAAGTCCAAGACTCCAGGTCCCTCACGAGGGCATCTGGCGCCCTTGTGTTTTCTCTCTCTGCCACTGCGAATGCTTGCATTCGCCATCTTGCCTTCACAAGAGCATTTCCAAGAGCCATAACCCCTCCACGCCACTTCCTCCACGTTCATGATTGTTTTGAATTTGCTTTGTTTGTAATTGTTATTTTTTTTTCCTTTGGTCCTACGTGGGCACGGGAACAGGGCAGGCTTCGGGGTTGCACGCCTGCTCCTTGCTCCGGGGCTCCCCCGGTAGAGTCTGTTGCCTGGACTCTTCTCATCCGTTATGTCACCACTGCACATTGCCATGGGAGCAGGCTGCAGACCCCTGTTTTTTGGTGGAATTGGGTATTTGCCCCCATCGACCTTCTTGGTCCCTGTTGCCTTTGCAGCAGGGCATCGAAGGAGCCCTTCCCAGCACGTGAACTGGCCGGGACGGCCTTGCGGGAGAGGATCGACCACCCGGGACAAAGGCAGGATCCGTGGTCTGAAAAGGCGTCTGATGGAGGAAAGGGGGTGAAGAGATAAAAAAAAAAAAAAAAAAAAAA